GAAAAATATTAACCTAACTCAATTAAACACTATTAGATCATATTATACTATGCGTATACCGATTTTGTCCAACATCACCTCCACCACCTTCAAAATGTCACAATTTTCAAACATTATGATCTAAGGTTAAAAAGAACAAAACTAAATAAATTTGTTTTTAATTACCTACTTAGCTGGGTCACACRTAATACAGCAATTATGCAACTTTAAAATATTATTTAAATAATGACTATTATATATTTTAATGAAAATCTACCTTATACTTTACATCTATCCCTTAATATTGCATACTGTCTCTAAAGTGAAGACTGTTGAGTGCAGTAGTCATGGAATTCATTAGTATTAAATGAATTTTAAATTTTAAATCAAAGAAAATGAATTTGATTATTAATGTGTTAACCGTATTTATAATCAATAGGACAATATAGATAATAGATATGCAATATAATTATAGTTGTATGAAAAATAATTGTATTAATTTGCATGAATTACAGTTGTTGATAAATATATTAACTTGATTTTAATTTTTAACTTGACATAATACTTTATTTCAAATATTAAGAGGATGTCACATCCGTTTGTGTTGTTTCCGTTTTACAAGTGTGTAACATACCAAATTTTACGCTCAGCAGTTCCAATTTAGCTCAGATAGTTTAAAATTTAGAGTGAATTGACCTATTATAAAAATTAAAGATAACATTATTATTTAGGTTAGGTTACTGAGGCTTTTTATTATATTTTAATTTTAAAGTGAGTTATGACTTTATGAGTATTTTAAGATACAAACAATTTACACTTTAAAATAAATAATAATAATAATTAAACATTTTTAAATATTTATGTTTATAAGGTTAAAAATTAGAAAAGATTTTATAAATAAAAAATGTAACAGTTAAAAATGTTTAAAAATGTATAAGTACCTTATAGAAATTAAGTTTTATTCACACACAACTGCTTGAGAAGTATTTTTGCCAAATTATTAGTTTTTAAACAAATGTATTCCTTTCACGATTAGCAAAGTGTTTACTGTATATAAATAATTTAATAAAATAATGATTCATTTAAAATTTAAAAACAATAATTAGCTACAAGTAAGTGTATATAAAAAGTACTCATTTGATACATATTTAATTTAAAACTTTATCTGGTTACATTAAAATTCCTATTTTAAAACAATTTAAATTTAATTGTTACCCTAAGGGTTCCAATCAACTAGATCCTAGGTTGCAATACTTTGTAAAAGATAGAAGTAAATAAAAAGTATAATCAAATCGAGATCTATCAAATCTATTATGATTATGAATTTGTAGGTTTATTAGTAAGAATAAAAGGGGATTTATTGATTCCACCGAAATTACCTGCTTAAGAAAAAGGTTTATATTGATTCCGCCGGCTACTGTTTATAAAATATACATATTGATCCCCCCCAACATCAATTGTATGTTTATTTTAAAATGTATAAATGTAACTAATTTTGATAAAATTTTATCATATTTTCATAAAATTTGGTCACATGTCTTAATTGAATAAAACTATAATAATTATATAATTCAAAATGAAAATGCATAATCTAATTAATATGTGAATATATTGTAAAATGTATAATCTATATTTTATAAAATTATAATAATTATGTAGTTTAAAATAAAAATATATAAATGTTACTACTTTTGATCAAATTTGGTCACATGTCTAAATTGAATTTAACTGATAGTAATAATTTTATGTACCTATAGGTATAAAATTAAAATGTATACATATAAGTAATAAAGTAACTACTTTTGATGATATTTGGACACGTATTTTAAATAAGTGAACTTAGAAACTTTGTAATTAGCAAGGCTAAATAGACAGGCATGTCAGCAAGATAACCATAATACACTATCAATACGCAGTTTACTCCAGATGACGTCACATTCCCGCCGTTTTCAAATAAGCCATGATTACACATTCAGTATTGCAAAATTAATTTTATTAACTTAACTTAGCCATAATATTATTTATAAAAAAAAAAATACAATAATATTTCACATATTGCGACTCCCAAGTGGAAGATTCCAATATATAAAAAATATATTATATACATATAGACTATATTATATAGTAAATACACCTAATTAAAAATAATATCATAAGAAATTTACATTTTCACTCTACCAAGATCTTTGACCTTTGTATAGTACTATTCGCGATGGAAAGCAAATATAGGGGCGCTGTAGTCACTTTTACTAACGGGGTATGCTGATAACTGATAATAATCAATTTCACATTGCAATTATTGAATTATTAAATATTATTTATTAATTTGATTTGTTTTATATGAMTAATTTTGTTATTTCGATTACAATACCTAAAAAAAATGTTTACTCCGGTTGTTGAGCTAACAGACATTTTAAGTTTTATTGGTGACTTTAAGCGAACATTGATTGAGGGTACTCAAGTAATGAATTGTAACCACATTGTTGAGTTTGGATGTGTGGAAAATAATAACAAAACATTAAAAATCGTTGCTATGTGTCTTAAAACTAGTGATCTTAGTGGAAAACCTCATGAGGTAAGTTTAAATATTAATTTCAGTATACAATATCCATTACTAATTTACAAAATATTACTGTACCTATTTAGTTAGAAGTCATTAAATCTATTAATAATGGAAGTGTAAAATTGTCAGCAAAATGTTCTCGCAAAGCAGGTAGTGGAAAATGCAAACACATAGTTGGCCTGATGCTCAAACTTCAAAAGTAAGCTTTAATTATACGAGGGTTGTCCCAAAAGAAATGCACAATTTGCTCTGAATAAATAAGTTTTTATTTTAAACTAAATACAATATTATAGACCTTCGATATAATCTCCCTACTTGTCTATACACGATTGCCATCGTTTCGGGAGCGCTTGAATGCCGCATAGGACGCCATCTTTGTTGAGTTCACGGATCCTTCGGCTCACTTCTTCATTTAGTATATCTAGGTTRGGAAAACAGATCCCTCTAAGTGGTTCCTTTAGTTTTGGAAATAAATCAAAGTCCGGGGGACTTAAATCCGGCGAATACGGTGGGTGTTTGAGGCGTTCCCATCTATATTTCTTCAAAAGAGCGACGACTGGTGCTCCGATATGCGGCCTCGCATTATTGTGCAATATGGACTCACCATTTTGTAACATTCCTGGTCGCTTTTTACGGATTTCTGGTCGCAATTTTTTGGCGTATGTACATTTATGCACATAAATATAATAAGTTGATCATATCAATTATCAATAAGTCAACACCAAGTTTTTAATCTAAATCTTTCATTAAATTTTTAAATTAAAATATTTTATATTCCTAGAACATCAATAGAAGAACTTGATGAGCGACTTTGTACAGATCTTCCTCAACAATGGGGAAAACTCGGTCAAGCCACTAGTAAATATTTACATAAGCCAGTTCCTGTTCTAGAGTTTTGTCATATATTTCCAACAACAACAGTATATGACAAATCATTGCCTAACGACATATCAGAGGATTTGCAGCAGGAAATTCGTTCATGCTTTTTACAAAGTTATTAATTATTTTAGGGGTGGGCTTAACCTTTTTTTGAATCTTTTTTTTTTAACTCTTAGATTTATATTTTTCTAAAACCATATAATATTTTTATTATATGTTACCATTTGAAAATCAAAAGTTGATAGTGGTTTCGCCAATAAATAAAAATAAATAAGGGTAAAAAATTAAAATATTATACGGTTTTAGAAAAGTGTTAAAAAAAAAAGATCCAAACAAAGTTAATACTTTTCGAAATAATTAGTGCACCCACTTCAATGGATCACCCTGTATATAAAAAAAATTAAGGATAACCGACTATTGTGCAGAGCGTGAGATTTTTTTCTGTGAGATGTTGTTGTACTAAAAAACCCACATGCTCCGATGCCCTTAAAGCTCTATTATTGGAAGTTTTTTCTTGACCCTTGTAGTGTTTCTAAGTTCTGTTTAGGTTAAATAAATCAAAAAATACATAAATTTAATTTAGTTACTAATAATGTTTACAAAATATTTTTCTTGTATGTTTAGGAATTCCGAATTCAGAATTTGCTTTGAATCATGTTGGACGTATAGAATCGCTATCTGAAATATGTTTACCGAAAATATCGGCTACTGAATTGAAACTAATAGAAACATTTATTACTTCATATAACTCTTGTATGGAAAACTCATTGTTTTCTTCACATGTTCGTATGTGTGATGCAAGTAGTATCAGTTTTTACTATTCAAATGTTAATGTTACCAAAGCTCAAGCTACAGAAATTTGTTTTGAAACAAAAGAACAAAGTGGTCCATATTGGAAAAAAATAAGGCAAATTAGAATTACTGGAACTTCAGCATACAGTTTTTTCACTAAGTCTAAAAGTAAGACAGTAAAAACAGATTCGGACTCTAAAATAAAATCGGTTTTATTTTCAAATTTTTCTGGGAATGCTGCAACCCGTTATGGTCGATTAAATGAAAATAATGCTATTGCTGCCTCTGAAAAAAAGTATGAAATTCCTATCATTAAACTAGGATTTCTTATAAACATAAATTGCCCTTGGTTAGAAATAAGCCCTGATGGTTTTATTGAAAAATTAAATGACTATTTTCTTATTGAAATAAAATGTCCAATTTCTGGTAAGAAATTTAGTAGATCAGACTTAATCATAAAACTTAAATATATAAAAATCAGTAATGAATGCAGGTTAACATTGAATAAGAATCATTCATACTATGGATAAATTCAATTAGGATTTCTTTTATGTAACTTGAAAATGGCCTATTTAGTTATATATGCTTCAGTTGACGATTCAATAATAGTTATAGATGTACATTTTGACCTTGTATTTTGTAAACAAATGTTTATTCACTTGACTGATGTGTACTTTAAGCAAGTATTACCTTATCTTAATCAAAATGTATAATAATAAAATACACAGTGTTATGTTTTAATTAATAAATTGTATTTGTCTAAAATAATTGTACGATTGCTTAATTACTAATCATCATTTCTTCCTATATTAAAACCACTTTCGCTGATAATTGGTCTAGAAATGTTAACCACCCCACAGATTACAGTAGTAATTTTATCAATAATAGGCAAATACGACCAAGGTACTTTTTGTTGTAAGATTTTAAAAATTTTTATTCTTTGGATTGCTCTTTCTATATGCACTCGAGCTCTGGCTATTTCTGCATTTTCAATACCATCTTTTGTACTCGGCTGTTTTTTTTTACCTAAAAATGGTGGTCTAAATAACTTTACACCACTATCAGCACATTCCTGTTCAATTAAGAAACCTTTATCGACCATGATAGCACCTCCTTCTGTGCATTTGTTCAAAATTTCACTGTCGACAAAAATAAATTTATCACTCGCTCTTCCACCATACACTGAGCTTAAAAAAGTAATCAAACCATCTGGAGAAATTCCAACCATCATTTTAATCGTATTATTGTCTTTGTAGTGTGAATATGTTCTTATTCTACAATTTAAACATTTTGGCTTTTCAATTGTTGTTTCAAAGCAATCAAGTATCACTCTTGTTTCTTTATAATTTGTAAAACAGGATGGCAAATTCTTTTCTATTTTACTTTTAGAAGGCCATACAATCATTGATTTAAAAATCAGAAATAAAAGATTGATCGTTTCTATAAAATAATTTTTGCAAGATGTATCACTTATTCCAAATAACACTGAAAGACTTTTATAGGACATATTTAACTTCAACTTACACAAAGTTAAACATATTCGCATTTCTATGTTTAAAGAAAATTTTATACTGTACTGCAGTTTAGCCATTAAAATATTTGATATTTTAGCAATATCTTTTAAATACCCTATTTTTGAAAGGCCCGTAAAGGAATTAATATCTGAATCTGACTTTATTAAGTCCATAAGAGTAATATTTATGACTAAAAATTCTGCTGGGTCAACTTGAATGCCAATATCTTTTGAAGTGGTATCAATTGCAGTCACAGATGACTCAGTATTTTGTTCCACAGCTGTATCTTCATCAAGTGGCAAATGTTCACACAGACACTCTTCTCCGCAGGTACTTCTTTATGTTCTCTAGTTTAAAATATTAATAATTAAGAAACACTCCACAAGTATATATTTTAGTTTCTGTTTTTATACACGGATTACATTTTTGAGATAAAAAAGTTTAGGTTAATTGTGCTTTTAATTTTACAATACAACTACAACAATGCATACAGCAATTTTGTATGCATTATTATTATTTATTAAGAGTTGAAAGTGGAATGATCATGCTAAAAAACCACACTATATATTAATTATTAACTTATGAGGTGGTTCTTAAATTATAAGTACTGATTATTCAAAGTTTAAAATGGTGAATTTACCTGGAGAAATAAATTTTTCGTCGAACTGTTGATGGTGTATTATTTCTTTCAGGTGAAATGTTTGATTCCAAATTATTTTCTTTTCCACTAAAAATGTATGTTACACATTATTGCACTTATTTTAAGATCAAAATTATTAATAATTTACCCTTTAAACATGAGATCTCGACGAGTAGCTCTTTCTGCTTTTTGTACCCGTTTCATTTTTAATGGACTTGGAGYTGGTCGTTCAATAAGTCGTTTAGGTAAGTTTTGGGAGGGAATCACACACAGTTTTAATTTTACCCTTCGACGTGGTGAATTAGCTGTAGGTAACACAACAAATTATATTATGATTTATATGATTCTATGGAATTATTAAAATAATACCYGTTACATTCTTATTATAATAATAATTACTTGTTTTAAAATGTAAAAAATCATCTTTAGTGAAATGTTCGATGCATACATTAATATTATTTGTAGAATTAATAATATTCATTTTTAAAGTATGCTCCCATTTCTTTTTTAGGATAATATTTTTAGGAAAAGTGTGGAAAGACACATCATCTTGGTATTGTCTGTGGAATGAAAATAAAATAAATATTTTAGATATGTTTACACAGAGAATATAATTTGTAAATTTAGTAGAAATAAGAAAATATCTTACATTGTTTTACATTGTGGAACATGACAGTGTTTATGTTTTTTTCGAGTTTTTGGTATTGTGGCATAATACGAATGATCCATATAATTATTATGAAATAGCAGCTACTAACTACTAAATGTAAAAGTGTTATAAAAATTAAAAACTATTCGTGGTTAATAAATTGTGAGCAAATCTCAATATATTTTGAATTCATATTCCATGGACCAGTTTTCACGTCAGCCCTGTTACAACGTTTCATGCCGCCGACACCAGATGTCAGCCGCTTCGCTTTCTATCGCGAATAGTTTAATACTTTATTTTATGTTAATAAAAAAATATTATGTTCATTTATATGAAATGTTTGATTTTGATTAATACATGTCTTAAATTTCTTATGCAGATTATTCAAATTTGTAAATAATCTAAAAATAAAACTTATTTATATGATAACAATTCATAATGTAATTATCTTATGATTATTTCATTTATCCATCCGTTTTTTGTCCTTACTCCTTAGTAATAGTGACTATCATTTTTAATTAAAATGCCTTATTATTGTGCTGTGTCTGGCTGTAACAGCTATAAAAAAAAACTAATGTTAACATTAGGTACCACAGGTTTCCGACGTCCCCTGATTTACAAAAGAAATGGATAGAGTTTTGTCAGAAACCAGCTGGGAAAAAACAAAACATAAACAATGGTACGATATAATTACATTGTATTAGTATACACTATAAGCACAGTAACGTATTATATAAATATGAACGTTATTCGCCAGTTTATTAATTTATATTCCCTTTTTTTAAAAGCCCGTATTTGTTCATTACACTTTGTAAAAAGTGATTTCGAAAAACCATTAATTGAATTAATGTTGGACTATTCACCCAAGTGTAAAAGAAAATTAAAGAATGATGCTATTCCAACTCAACGGGTAGTTATTTTAAACAATTCCAGTTTTGAGGCAAGTTTTAACAATTAAGATATTATAAAACAATAATATATTATAAGAATGAAATAGTTTTAACCTATTAGTTTTATGACTTAAAATAAATAAATATTTATTTGTTAGAAGTGTGATTCTAATCCTGAATGTAGTACAACAGAAGTGTCTAGAAGCTTATTTACTACAGAGGATTCACATATTTTGCCAAAAAATAGAGAACAACATTTATTGGAACTTGTTAACAAGTATTTAAATATACCTATATGTATATGTATTATAAAATTTTGCTATTAAAACGGTTTGATCGTAATACAATGTTAGTTTATGAATATATTTTTGATCGATTACAAATAGAATTAAATGAAATAAAAAACAAACTTTTAAACGTTGAAAAGGAAAATAAATATTTTAAAGCTGATTATTTTGAAAATAAAATATGCGATATGTTTGCTCATATATTTACAAAAACTCAAATAAATCATTTTTTACGGCCTCATGTTCGAATACAAAAATGGGAAGTAGAAGACATATCACTGCAGCTATTACACTGAGAAGTATTTCACCAAGTGCATATCGTTACTTGAGAGATAAACTAAAGTATCCATTACCAGGTCTGAAAATAATTATATTTATAACTATTAAGTATAGGTCAAACGTAATCATATAGTAATATAATTTATAATTTATGCTTACAAGTAGTTTCTTCAAATAAATAATGTTCACTATAGGTCTTTCAAATCTCAGAACATGGGCAGGGAACTTATCCATTGAACCTGGTATTCTAAACAATGTAGTCAACATTATGAAATGTAAAGGTAAATAAACAAAAACCAATAAGTTAACATCCACTGTTGAGTGTTGGTTTATACCTTGGATCATATTATACATTAATTATAATTATAATATTGAAGGTGAACAATTAAGTGCAAAGGAGAAATTATGAGTATTGTCATTTGATGAACTGTATATTAGTCACGAAATTTGTTTTGACAAAAAAATGGAACAAGTGTTAGGGCCACATAAAACTGTTCAAGTTATGATTGTCAGAGGTTTGGTATCAAATTGGAAACAACCAGTTTACTATTCATATGACAGCCCAATGAAAGAAGAAGTGCTTTACAATGTTATTTCAATACTGTACGATAGTGGATATAATGTAATTGCCATGACTATAGTGACATGGAAAGTACAAATGTTGTTCTTTGGAAGACTTTGGGTGTCTTACATGAAAATCAATTTTTCATTCATTCCAAAAATGGACAGAAAATTCACAACTTTGCTGATGTTCCCCATTTAGTGAAACTAATTAGAAATAATTTTATAGATCAAGGGTTCATAGTCAATGAAGGTATAATAGTTTAATTTCAATAAATAATAGTTATACAATAATAATCTTACCAAATTAAATAGTCTACTGAACACTGATCATAGTCAGTCCCATGGCCTAACAGTTGACACCCATGATACTGATTTAAATTTTACCAATGTATCTATAGGTATATTTATTGGCAAACAAACAGTAGAAGAGGTGTTGAAACTATCTAGTGGTAATGATATGAAATTTGCTTACAAGTTAACTTCAGCACATTTAGATGTAGCAGGACCACAAAGGCCATGCATCTAATGTACATTAGCCGAATACTGATACCACTAAACAATCTTTCAATGAAGGACGTGTTTTATAACTGTGGTAACTGTACTGTGTGTAAAATATGATCTGAATCTCTTTATAGGTTATTGTGAGTATTCTAAACTGTTCGTCGCCGGAAGCGAGTACACGACACGGCCAAAGTCGAAAGCGGAATACAGGTACGGTCCACCCTCTGGATTGCGGTGGCCTCTCCGTATTCAAAAACTTATGCTACGTTAGTATGTTAATATGTCTCAACAGACATCAGTAGTCCGGGAGGAGACGCTAAAATCCCCGATTTCTAAACTATAGGTTTTCTAGGAGTGGTTATTATAGGTTGGTGGATAGGTGGATGAAACGGCCTGTGGTAAGAACATCGTAGTAATGTTTATCCGTAATAATATGTTTAAGAATGACGTTGATTGATCTACGCACAACGAGCGAGGACCCTATRCTATAACCCGCAACCGTCTATTATTATATTATTAATATAACTTCATATTTTTGTCGTCAATTCATAGTTAGCAAAAACGTATATACTATATATTATTATAAACCTTACAAGGCATCACTTATATTGTTKAATCGTTTCTTTTTCTTTCATTTCTTTACCACGAAAGGATTTATTTTACGTTCTTACTACCTATACTTACGTATACTATTATACAGGGTCACCAAAAATAAAACTCCCGTATTTCGTAAGGCTGTATGTAAACTGCGGCAAAATTAACCTTTTTCTAAAAGTAGTCGATATGTAAACTGCGGCAAAAAAAAATTAAGATTATACAATCTGCGGCAAAACCGATAAGATACATTATACAAACTGCGGAAATTAATTTTATATACCTTCTATATATATACTAAATTATATACATATCGTGTATAATATGAGTTATGACATCTATTTATCTAGAGACTATTAGAGTATTAAGCGTAAAAATAAAGAAAAACCAATTTTCAAA